ACTAGCAATAGCGAGAAGTAATCTCACAGTAACCACCTTAGCAACCGGGGAGAAACTATCATAGTAACTTCTCCCTCCACTTGAGTGTATCCCTTCGCAATAAGCCGGCCCTTATATCGGTCAACCGTGCCATCAGGGTGGTATTTGACCTTATACACCCATTTACACCCGATGGCACGTTTTCCCTTCGGTAAGTCTGTCAGTGTCCAGGTCTGATTGGCTTCAAGAGCCTGTAACTCAGCTTCCATAGCTTTGACCCAAGCTGGATTAGTTCTAGCTTGTGAATAAGTCTTTGGTTCAGGAATACTGTAAACATTTGCTAAAAAGGTGATGTGGGAAGCTGAAAAACTGATGTGGTCGAGTAAAGGAGATGGTAATGAAGAGGTAGAAACCACACTGTTGGAAACATATTGATTCATCCAACTAGGTGGTTTAGTTGGTCTGGAACTCCTTCTAAGTAAAGGGGGGTCAAGCACTTCCGAGATTGGAGAAGGAACTGGAGCAGATTCAGGAGACGGAGGAAAAGGTGTGACAGGGCTAGGAGGTGATGCAGGAGTAATATCAGCATGCTGGAAATAATCAAAGAGACTAGGATTGGAAATCCAATAAGAAGGTTCTAAAGAGGGTGGATCAGGTTGAATATTTGTAAGGTATGGAAAAATGGTCTCGTGAAAGACCACGTCCCGAGATACAATGACCTTTTTGTGAATGAGATCATACAGTTTGTAGGCCTTTTGGCCAGCAGGATAACCAAGGAAAACCGCTTTAAAGGCTTTGGGATCAAACTTTGATTTGTGTGGCTGGGTGTTGGTTGCATAACATAAGCAACCGAAAACTTTCATATGATTTAGAGGGGGAGGCTTAGAGTGAAGAATCTCATAAGGAGTTTTCCAGTGTAAAAGTGGTGAAGGAAGACGATTTATAATATAGGTAGCAGTTAAAATGGATTCCCCCCAAAACTGTAAAGGTAAACCTGACTGGAACATCAAAGATCTAGCCAGTTGTAACAGGTGTTTATGCTTTCTTTCGACTATTCCGTTTGGTTGAGGAGTGTAAGGTGCTGATCTCTGATGAACAATACCAAGATCAGAAAAAAGTGATTGACATTCTCTACTAAGAAACTCTAAACCATTATCACTTCGATGATTTTAACAGATTGATCAAACTGATTCTAGATCAGTTTAAGAAATTTGGTAAGAATTGAAAGTGTTTGACCCTTACTTTGCATTAGAAAGGTCCAAGTGGCCCGACTAAAATCATCAACTAAGGTAAGAAAATAATAGGCTCCATTTAAAGAGGAAGTTTTATGTGGTCCCCAAATATCCATGAATCATTTCTACAATTCTGGAAGATTGAATTATTCTTACAGGGAATTTAAGTCTCTGTTGTTTAGCAACAGGACATACAGAACAAATCATATTCTCCGTAGTATTAGAAGACAAGACTTTGAGTTTACACAGAACAGAATCTGGGGCATGTCCTAATCTATTGTGCCAAAGCACATTATTGTCTGAATGAACTGAGTTGACTGCAAGAGCTTGAGAAGGCTTCATTTGCAGCATAAAAGGATGACTGATGTGAGAAGAAACAAAGCTTGAAATGGTTTCTGGTGAAAATGATGTATTGTCTAGATAGTAGAGTTTGTTCAGGACCTTTCCAACAGCCAGAAGTTGCTTATTCTGGTCCTGTAACAAACAATAGGATGTGGAAAAGAGACAATCAATGTGTGAAGCTGTGGCTAGTTTGTTGACAGAAAGAAGATTGTAATGGAAAGAAGGTATGTGAAGACACTCTGTGACTTCTAATTGATCAGATAATCTAGCTGTGACAATATGTTCTATGTGTTTGATAGTGCCATCAGGTAAGGAAACAGGAGTATAGCAGGTTACAGGTTTATAACTAATCAGAAGAAATAATAAAGCAATCATATGCGCAGTAGCTCCAGTATCCAAAAAACCAAAACTTAAGAAACTTATTCACAACAGAACTAATAGCACTCAAAGCTATATGATCGTTCATACCTGCAAAGTCATGATAGTGAGCAAAGTTGACATTCTCCTCATCAACAGTCATCTTGCCTTTCATCATCCTCATCAGGTTATTCATAAGCTGCATCGTTTCTTCATTTGCAGGTGTTGGAGCTTTATCCATTGTTTTCTCAGAATTTGGTGATGCATCTGCCAAGTTTCCTGATGATCTCATGCCATTCCCTTTCCTTGATTCCTTGTAGCTATCCCACCAATCTGGATATCCAACCAACTCAAAACAGTCTGCTCTCAGATGACCATTCATGTGGCAATGATCACATTTGAGCATCCTTTTTGCTGCTTTGTCTCGTCTGAGGTCATTCTCCTTTCCTGAATAAGTAGAACTCCTTGTTGATCCATTCATAGACTTATTTACTATCTGTGAACCTCCACCTGAAGACCCATAGTTATAACTCGCAGAGTTTGATCTGTTATTGAATACTCATTTCTGAACCATCATAGCACTTTGTTCAAATGATTCCACAAGATTTCTTTGGACTGCTAGTTGTTTTTCAACATTTAGAACCATGGTGTACGCCTTCTTCACCTCAGGCAAAGGATCCATCATGAGAATTTGGTTCTTCTCACGACTGTAAGACTCATTCAAACCACTAAGGAACTCCATCAGTTTGTGACGACTTTCATGACTTCCATCATTATTCACTCCACAATTACAAGTATCAGGAGGATCAAGAAACATTAATTCATCCCAAAGTCGTTTCAGTTTTGAATAATATGCAATCAAACTCAGATTTCCCTGTGAAATAGTAGCTATCTCTCTCCTTAAATGATAAATCTGTGGTCCATTACGTTTACCATAACTTTCTTTGAGTTCTTCCCATAGATCATATGCACTCTCAGCCAAATCATGATTTTCTACTAATTCAGGCGAAACTGAATTCAGAATCCAAGTGATTACCATATCGTTGACCCGCAGCCATTGCGCATCATCTGGATCTCTGATGTTAGGCATCTTCTCTGCTCCGGTGATAAATCCAAGCTTATTCCTTGCTCCTAACGCTCTCCGCATCGCGTGACTCCACGAGATGTAATTGATTTCATTCAACTTTGTTGGTATGATGACCAGAGATGAGTTGTCTGAAGGATGCAATACGAGCGGATGTTGATAACCGCCGTAGTTTGTGATCTCTCGATCCTCTCTTCGCTGCTCCTTGCGTTGATTTCCAGCACAATTCGCCGCCATTCTTCTTTAATTTGCAAACAAATTCTGTTCACAGAGCTTAGATTTCAAGAACCAGAAACCCTAATTTTTGGGGCTCTAAGTTTCCGATCAAAATCCGATCTATTGCAATACAATTTCCGGCATAGAGCAGGAACTTAATCCTGCTCTGATACCATCTCAAATTGGTAGCGGAAGCAAAGTAATTGGTGAGGATTGGGGATTTCGGCTTTGATGGTGTATTCAAGAATATTCTGTATTACCTCCGTGAAATGAGAAATTGAGTCTAATAATTATTCTGTACAGATTTACAGAGTATATATACATGACTTAACTAACACTGACTTGTAACAATTTACAACTAAGTCCCTATTCTACTGACTATTTACAAAGTAACCTAACTAATCAGAAAACCTGTATTATATACACTTATGTACAATCATCTGAACCTGAACCTGCTCTCAATCCTGCAATGTTGTATCCTCAGGTTCAGGTTGATGAGAATATTGTTCAACGGTAATGCCGCTAATGCCACCTATATCACGATCAACAAAATGAATAAACAAGAATATTTTCATCAGAAAAATATGGTCATAATTCAACTAAATTAGTAAAAAGTTCATGAAATGTTCAAGTTCAATCAATGTTTTTATAGAAATTTACGGTAAATTCTACCCCAAAAATCAAAACTATTGATAATAGTGAGAGTAACCCATAAAATATTTACATAATGATTTCATTACTATCAGTATATTGTTGTGGAACAAGAGTTCTATCTGTTTTAAAATCAGATAGCATGAAAAACTTGTAAGAAATTAATGTAAATTGTAATTAATTGTATTACGGTTAGGGTTTTATACCCATTTCTTGTATAAATAACTCCCTGTATGTATCAATATAGATGTGATTTTACCAACTCTTTATGGTATCACGAGACTAGGTTTTTCTTTAAATCCTAAAACTCTCCAACTTCGGCCACCGATTTCCATTCTTTTTTTCGGCCCTCAGTTTTCTATTCTCGTCCTCAGAGATGGCAGATAAAGTCACCGGCTCTTCTGATAAGGTCCCTGTTGACAAAGCTGGCGCCGCCTCTGCTTCGGTTGATCCCCACTCACCGTACTACGTCCACCCGTCTGATCATCCGGGTCTGACTTTCGCTGCTCAACCTTTGGTTGAAAGTGGAGATAATTACTTCACTTGGCGCAGCACTTTTCTTAACGCTCTTCAGTCGAAGAACAAGGCCTGCTTTGTTGATGGCTCAATCCCACAGCCAGCCGTCGATGACACTGATTTGCAGCGCTGGATTTAGTGCAATGCATTGATCAAATCTTGGTTGCTCAACGCTGTCTGCAAGGAGCTTCAAACTGAAGCTACGCATACCCCGACGGCGGCCACGATCTGGGCTGATTTCGAAGAGCGATTCACTCAGGGTTTAGCTCCTCGGATGTATGAATTGAAGTGGTCGATTGCCTTGCTGCAGCAAGAATGCTCCCTCACTTTAACGTACTATGGAAAGCTCAAAGGGATTTGGAGTGAGCTGCAAAATCTTCGCCTTTTTCCGACCTGTGCTTGTGGCGGCTGTGTTTGCGATTTGAACAAAAAGCTTCAGACCATGACGGAGGAAGAGAAAGTCTATAACTTTCTGATGGGTCTCGACGATACGTACAAGACTGTTCGCTCCCAGATTCTGAGTGTTGATCCGCTGCCCACACTTGATCGTGCTTATGCCATCGTCGCTAGTGATGAAAAGCAACGCCGACTTGTGGATTCTCGGCTTCCTGTGGTTGAAGCTGCTACTTTGGCTGCGAAGTCTTCTCCGGTCCGGCGTGATTCCACCCCTTCTGCTCCTGGTCAATCTCAGCCGCCTTGCAGTCACTGTGGGCACCCCAACCATTCAAAAGATCGCTGCTATGAACTCGTTGGGTATCCTGCCGGCTGGCGACAACCTCGACAGAAGCGTGATCAACAGTCTTGCGCGCGCAATGATGTTGTTTCAAACCTTGCTGCTGCGCCTGATCCACCGGCAGCTGCTTCTGCTTCCATGCCTTCTTTCTCAGCTGCACAGGTCCAGTAATTGTTTCAGATGCTTGGGCAGCAGGTTTCTTCGGAAGCTGCAGCCAAGTCCACCACCGTGAACAGCCTTTCTTCGTCGGGTAAGATAGATGATTGGGCATGTGATTCGGGAGCTACTGATCATGCTTCCCATAAATTGCAAATGATGAGGGATGTTTCTTTACCTTGTCCATCTATTTTGGTTCAAATTCCAAATGGTGAACAGGTTTCCCTTCAAGCGGTTGGTCAGATAAAACTTGATGATAATTTGATACTTGATCATGTTTTGGGAGTGCCTAATTTCCGGTTCAATTTGATATCTGTTAGTAAATTGACCCGTGATTTGAATTTCTTCTTCACATTTGGCCCTGACTTGTTTTTTATCCAGGATTTAATCTCGAGGAAGCTGATTGGAATGGGTAGAGTGCGCGATGGATTATACTATCTAGAACCAATAAAGTTAGGTGGTGACCGCCGGATTCTTTCAACTCGCAAAGGCGATACCTCAACCTTGTGGCATCGTCGTTTGGGTCATCTTCTGGTTACTCGTCTTTCTTTGATTCCTAGCATTTCTGTTTCTTTTCATAATAATTCTGGCACATCAGTTTGTGATGCCTGTTGTCGAGCTAAGAAGACTCGTTTACCATTTCCTTTACATCAAACTCATAGTATAAACAATTTTGATTTAGTGCATTGTGATATTTGGGGACCTTACCCTACTCCGTCTAAGTCGGGTGCACATTATTTTCTTACTATTGTTGATGATCGCAGTAGGGCTACTTGGGTTTTTCTTATGCGTTCCAAATTCGACACTAAGCGTTATTTGCTTTTATTTTTTAATTGGGTGCATACACATTTCAATGCTATAATTAAGACTTTTCGAACTGATAATGGTCTTGAATCAATCATTCCTCTTTGTTAACACACTTTCTAGATCATGGCATTGAAAAACAAACCAGTTGCCCTCACACCCCTCAACAAAATGGTGTCGTCGAACGTAAGCATTGACATCTCTTAGAAGTGGCTAGGGCTTTGCAGTTCCAAGCAAATCTATCCGTTGCCTTTTGGGGGGAATGTATTCTTACTGCTACTTACTTGATCAATCGCATGCCTCTTTCTGTTTTACAGAGCTCTTATATGGTCGCCCGCCTTCCTATGATCACTTACACAGTTTTGGGTGTTTATGCTATTCTCATGTTTTTGCAAAACCTAGGGATAAATTTTCCTCTAGAGGTCGTCCGGGTATCTTTGTTGGTTATCCACATGGTCAAAAGGGGTATCGGATTTATGATTTCAATCGCAAGGAGATACATACTTCTCGCGATGTCATTTTCTTTGAAAACGTTTTTCCATCTACTTCGGGTCCTCCTCAACCTGTATCGGACTCATCTTCAGTCCCGGTTGATCTTTCTCACTCTGCAGCTGATCCTTATCCACCTGTGGTTCCACATTTGTTTCCACCAGCTTCATCCTCTGATGTTTCACCCGATCCTCCACCATCCTCATCCCCTCTGCCAGTTAGCTCCTCATCGGATCTCCCTTCCAAACGTCCCCGACAAGTCTCCCAAAGACTTTCTGGGTATCAATATACTCTTCCGCCCTCTCTACAGTCCACTCATAACCCATCGTCGACCCTTGCTCCACTATCAGTCAACTCGATGGTACACCCTCTCTCTAAGATTTTGTGCTATTCTCGCTTTTCTAAAGCTCACATTGCCTTGTTAGCGGCCATCTCCTCTGTGGATGAGCCCACCAGTTTTTCACAGGCAGTTAAATATGCACATTGGAGAGAAGCTATGGCTAAAGAAATATCTGCTCTTGAGGCTAATCATACTTGGCAGCTTGTACCTTTGCCTCCTGGAAAACGCGCCATAGATTCAAAATGGGTGTACAAGGTTAAATTCCTTCCTGGTGGTCGTGTTAAGCGCTACAAAGCGCATCTGGTTGCCAAGGGCTTTACACAGATTGAAGGCGTTGATTTTCATGAGACCTTTGCTCCTGTTGCCAAATTGGTGACTGTTCGTTGCTTACTTGCTGTTGCTTCTGGTCGTCATTGGGAGCTTCATCAGCTTGATGTCACTAATGCTTTTCTTCATGGTGATCTTCATGAGGAAGTGTACATGAAAATTCCTCAGGGCTTTGCCACAAAGGGGGAGCAACGTGTTTGTCGCCTTCAAAAGTCTCTCTATGGTTTGCGTCAAGCCTCTCGGAATTGGTACTAGAAATTTACTCAGTCACTTGTCTCTACCGGATTCAAGGAGTCCACTTCTGATTCATCTCTGTTTACCTATCGTAGTGGTACTTCTTTTATTGTAGTCTTGATCTATGTTAATGACATCATTGTGGCTGGGAATGATTCCCTTAAGATTGGTCGACTCAAGAAATATCTTCATGGTCAATTTCACATTAAGGATCTTGGCCCCCTTAAGTATTTCTTGGGTATTGAGGTAGCTCGTTCTTCTGCTAGAATTGCACTCAGTTAGAGGAAATATACCCTTGACATTTTGTCTGAATGTGGAGTCACTGGTTGTCGTCCGAGTTCTACCCCGATGGAACAACAGCATGGATTGGATCTAGATTCTAGAGAATTATATGATGATCCTGGTCGATATCGACGCATTGTTGGTCGTCTTCTATATTTGACCATCACTCGTCCAGACATTGCTTATGCTGTACATGTCCTTAGCCAATTTATGCACAAGCCACGTCAGCCACATTTTGATGTTGTCATGCGTGTCCTACGCTATTTAAAATTGGCACCGGGGCAGGGAATATTTCTACTTTCTGATAGCTCTCTACATCTACGTGCGTATTGTGTTGCCGATTGGGCTGGATGTCCTACTACTCGGCGTTCCACTACAGGGTATATTGTCTTCTTGGGTGCTTTTCCACTCTCTTGGTTATCAAAGAAGCAAACTGTAGTTTCACGTTCTTCTGCGGAGGCAGAGTACAGAGCTATGGCGATAGCGACAAGTGAACTTGTTTGGTTGATACGTCTTTTGACCGAGTTAGGAGTGCCTTCAGCACATCTAGTACCTTTGTTCTGTGATAATCAGGCAGCACTTCATATTGCTGTTAATCCAGTTTTTCATGAGCGTACCAAACATATCGAGATAGATTGTCATTTCATTTGGCAACATCTTCAGTCAAAATTGCTTATCCCTCGGCCCATCTACTCTACCTTGCAGTTAGCAGATTTATTCACCAAAGGTTTGGGTTGAGATAAGTTTAATGTCTTGATTAGCAAGTTGGGCATTAAGAATCTACATGCTCCAACTTGAGGGGGAGTAATGTAAATTGTAATTAATTGTATTACGGTTAGGGTTTTACCGTTAGGGTTTTATACCCACTTCTTGTATAAATAACTCCCTGTATGTATCAATATAGATGTTATTTTACCAACTCTTTAGAAATAGAAGGGTTAGGCAGTTGATTATCACCTGAATGATAGGGATCAATGGCAATCTTAAGTCCTTGCGGACATCAGTGAAGAATCTCTTCAAATTTGTCTTGTAAGATTTGGCATCCATCTCATCTACAGTGTCACTTTCACCTTGATACTACAAAATCGCCCGGATAATTCCACCCCCTTTTACTGCCGCATTAGCTCGATTATGTAGTTGGTTGTATGCGAATGGTGACGCGGTCCCGTTCACTTATGTTTGTACCTCCAACTGTGCAAGGCACCAAACCGATGGTACCGAAGCCAGGGTCCCTGTGTAGCACTGTATTAGCAAATGCCATGCCTGGCCCAATCCCATTGGTTTTCGTTACGTCAATGTCTTTGTGAATTGGCTCTTTTGCTGGCTCCCAGGCTAATTTTGCATTTAATCGGAAAATGGACGGGTGCAGCTGGCACTTCGGCGGAACAATCCCGTCCCAAACACCCTGGAGGACGCCTCCTCGGCCGGCCATGTTGCTTTGTCCGGCTAAAATGAACATGTTACTTGGCTGAGGTGCATTAGCCTGCAATGGGTTTGCCATTGCCAACAGCAACAAGAGAACTTCAATCAACGCCATTAATATATTGTTCGAAATATCGACTAAAGTAATCCAAGACATTAGTAATGGTTTAAATTTTTTTCATGAGCGATGGGAATTATTTTAGTTTGGAGGATTAGTTGGATGCAATTTATTATGATTATTAGCAAAAGCTACTTCTTCGTAAATTAGGTGTACCAACAATTTAGTCCATAGATAATGCTGATGACAATTTATTATTATTTTTTCACCTTTTATTAATGAAATTACAATTTCAAAGTAAAAGAAAGTCTGTATTATTATTATTATTATTATTATTATATTATTATTATTATTATTATTATATTATTATTATTATTATTATTATTATTATTATTATTATTATTATTATTATTATTATTATTATTATTATTATGTGTAACACCAAATAGAAATGTTGCCTGCAGTCCATCTATTTTTTTTTTTTTATTTCAAAGAAAATGTTGACAGGTAACCTGGTACATGAATGCAAAATTAACTTATATATCTCAATTGGGGGTTTGTGGGAGTGGGTGGGTGTTGTGGGGGAGATGGTGTAAATAGAAATTTAACAAATCAAGCGAATGCGAAATATACAAGACCAACTAATAAAATCTTTTTATGTAAATATATATTTTGGGCCGATTCTGTCATTTTGAGGGCGGGCAAAGTTAAAACTTAGGGCCCCTAAAAGATTAAATCAAGGAAAAATTATGTGCCTTTAGAATGATTGCCTTTAACTAATAAAGAAGTTATAGGCAAACAAACCAGAAAATCACATCCACGTCCAGACATTTTTTCATAACTATTAATGGTAATATTGTATTGCAACTATTATCTTAGGACGGATTTTATATATTTTTCTTTATTTATTCAGCGGTGGATCAATTTACATTACGTTAATCTAGATCCCCACGAATCTTAAAATTCAGTTTCATTTGATATATAGCAAAGTTCACAGACTTAGATAATGATTGGCATTGATGGGTGTTTCTCGTAAGTTGGAATATTATGAATTTATGATGGCTCATTTTTTAAAATTCATCAATTGCTTGCGTGACAGTTTTTAGTTTGTTGTTAAAACAGCGTGTAGAGCTATTTGGTTGGATGTCTGTAATTTATTTATATTTATTTATTTATTTATTTTTGTTGGACTTACACACCGCTAAATACTTTTGTTAATTGTGACGAGAATTTTGTCCGTGAGCGCAAGTAATTCAAGTAATAACTATTTCATAGTTAGCTTAATGTAACATTCCCTTCAACATCACAAAGAAAAATTACCACATGTTCATTTGAATATTATTATTCTTAAAAAAACGCAAGAATATTACTAGGTGATTGATAATTTTTTAAAATCGGATTACTGTTACTACCAAAAGAGAAAAGTTAAAAAATATATATTATGATCGTGAGATTTGTAAAATGTTTTTTTTTTTTTACATGGGAAATAATTTTCGTTCTCTTTCCGGGAGAAAAGAAAATTAATTGGGAGCAATGGTAACACTGAAAATGAAAACACGATTTCTAAACAATTACTAACATTTCGTTCGTTCTTTCTTTTCTTTAGGGTGCTACAATTAAGAGTATAAAAGAAACAGCGAAAAAATAGTAACAAAATTTATATCAATATCTTCCAAAAATAAAACATCCCATGGGGAAGCACTAAAAGGAAAAGGCCACTATCTTCCTCCACTAACTTTGTTCTAACTTCTAACCATAAAATACTGGTTTTTTCAGAAGAAAAATTACTGGAGTTCTGGAATTTCAATTTAGACCTGAAGAGCCCCTCAAAACCTGCAGGCGCGTCTTGAAGCTTCTGTAGCATTTTCTGTTTAGAGGGGAAAATAAGAATATAAGATCAGTATCCATAATTGAATAATTAAATCTTGATCCAATGAAATTCACGTACGTTCCAAGGATTAAGACAAAACAACTGATTTGTACCAAAAGCCATTCAAGGCTTCAAGCTTACACAAATAGGCAAGTTTTGTTTCCATACTGAATAGGATAAACTCCCCTGGAAAAAAGCATGCAACCAATCTGATTTAACTAATTATTTTTTCCAGGTTCAACTTGTGTAGTGCCAAGGAAAAGACATACAATAAGGTGAGACACTATTTTTTTGACCAAAGCATATACATTATTGTGGTGGACAAATGCAACCGAACAAAGAGAAAAATATTGTTGTCAAACTCAAATCTTACATCAATCATATGTATTTTCTTAATGAATATTTTCTACTAGGAACTTTGTCTAGTTCCAATGCTCCCTAGTTGTGAAAAATTTGGGACAAACTCATGGATAATATGTGAGTATTACTCGGTAAAGGATGAGGCAAAAACTGGAAAAAAGCATCAGCCAGCATCTGCCCTAACTTGACTTGAGATTGAGTAGTGAGATGCAAATCATCCGGCGGTTGCACTTTGAGTCCCTTGGCATCTACACATCTTACGTTTGGACGCTTGATTCCCAACTGAGCTTGCCTTACAATGTCGATAAATGGCCCTTCGCCCGATGCTAACGCCACCTAAATAACAAACGTCAAACACATTAAGAATTCAATTTCATATCAATACGTAAATTAAACAAACCTGACAATTATTTTAGAAAAACGATCAAATAGTTTAGTAGTTGACCTGAATGACAGGAAGTAGCGGCGAACCTAAATCAGCTCGTACATGTGACAAAAATCTCTTCAGGTTCTTCTTGTAAGAAATGGAATCCTCGTAAACAATAGTGTCGCTCTCGCCTTGATACCACAAAATAGCCCGGATACTTCCACCACCTTTGACCGCGGCGTTGGCCCGGTTAATTAGTTGGTTGTATAAGAAGGTGCCACGCTCCCATTGGCTTATGTTTGTGCCTCCGATGGCACAAGGCACTAGGCCAATACACCCCAAACCCGGATAGCGAGACAAAACATAATTAGCAAATGACATGCCCGGACCAACTCCATTAGTTTTATTCACATCAATATCTTTATGCAACGGCTCCTTTGCTTCCTCCCAGGTGAGGTTAGCGGAAAGCCGGAGAATAGACGGGTTCGGCTGGCACTCCGGCGGAACAATCCCATCCCAAACACCATCTACGACACCTCCTCGGCCTGCCATGTTGCTTTGTCCGGCTAATATGATTATGTTACTTGGCTGTGGTGGATTATTGATTTCGTTGACTTGGGCATTAGAACTCCATGGGATTCCTATTGCCAGAAGCAGCAACAGAAATTCAATCATTATTTTCCGGAAAAAGTGTATGGGAAAAAGAAAAGAAGTAATAATTCAAGAAGAAGATAACTGCGCCTGCTTAGTAAAAAGAGCACGAGGAGGAGGAGCTAGCAAGGCGGCGGATTCTTCTTCTTCTTTGTTTGCAAGCACGATTTGGCCATGATAAATACTTGTACAAAATTGTAAACTATTCCAAGCAAAAGTAGTCGTCCATCTTTGAAGAAGGAAACTTATTTAATTGCTACGTCATTGTTTTTATGATGAGAGTCAGTGGTGGTTGATGCAACAGGCCCCTCAACATTCATTAATTAAATAAATTGCTAATCATTTCATATAGACATTAACAGATTAACATTAATCACCAAAAGTCCAAACTAATGAACTGATAAGTGGTCAGGAGTTTTTTTTTTTAAAAAAAAAAATCTGTCATCATTGGATATACAATTTGCATCTTCAAACGGTTTACTGTATACGCGCCTTTTTAGTTAAAAAGAAAACAACGAACGTTAACAATAGGTGAGTCATGGTTTCCTCTTTTTTAATATAAGGAGTGACCGTTACGGGCACAAGATCCTTTGTGTCACTTTCCTGTGACATTCTTTGTTGCATTATTTGATTATTTTTTTTTTATAAATAATAGAATTTGTGTTAATACATATACCATAAACATATATTTTCAATGTAGATTATTTTCATATTGTTATTTTATTTTGTGTCTATGTTTTATTTTTAATAAAATATGTTTTTTATTAAATTTTTAATTATGAAAATCAAAATAAATAGGCCTTAACTCGAAAAAAAGAGAACTCTTAATTTTAAAATATATAACTTTAGAAGTGATTGTGAATGGTATAAATATTAATCCAAATGACTGAAATTTATACAAAGTTATTAAATAGTGCAACAGAGAATGTCACGTGAAAGTGACACAGAGAATCGTAATCATGTGCCAACGGTTATTACTTGGAGTAGTTTGACTTCTTTTGTCACAATTTCCACTAAAAAGATGTAGGGAAAACACACACTAAGTAGTTAGTGTTCAGAGTTCCTCTTTCTTTTATAATTATGTTGTTAGAATCTTGCAGTTTTGTTAAAATCTTTTATTTACTTTTAAATCTCCTTTTAAAATTCATATTTTCTTCCAATCGAAAAAAAAATATTATTTATTTTCAATTTGTAATTTTCCTCTTCAAATTTTTTCTCTTACTTTTCTTCTCAATACTTTTGAGATCTTTCTCCCTCAATCTGCCTGTTCATCAGTGTTGTTGATTGTTTTAGGATTTTGAAATTTGTGATTGTGTTTGTTTTCTCCCCCAAAAAAAATGGAAAAAAAAGGAAAAGAAAAAAAAGTTGGGGTTGTCTCCATCTTCTAGGAGTTATTATCCATCTTAACTTGTTTATGCTTTAGCTTCTTCATTTTTATGGTGTTTAGGAATATCTTTTCCCTGGTAGTTTTTCACCACCATTTCTCCTATCTCCAGTGTTCCTCCTCTCTAACACCTTCTTCTGTTTCTTGCTTTGCGTCAGTTTTTATTTTTTGGTTATTTTATCACTAATTTTGCAGTTTTTCTTTTAGAGATTTTCAGGAAACTATATAGACTGACACTCTTGTTTCTCTCACCATGAATAAGAAATATATGGCACGCAAAATTCAAATTGTATCTTTCTGGAGAATCTATTGCAATCCTATGGACGTTCCGATGCGAGTGACGTTATGATATATTGTCAGAAAGGTAAAATTGAATATAATTGCTTTTTAGACTCACTGGTATTTATCTTCTACATGATTCAGAGGATAGTTGTTTTATAAAGGAAGAGTGTGTGGATTTAGTCTGATTTTAGTTTCATGCAAAATGTCATGAACTTTCACTTTGAAAATGTTCCTTTATGTCTACAAGGATGTCCTCAGCCTGTTGCCTTTCAATCGCCTCCGATGTTTCAAATACTACAAATCTTGCATACAAATTTTTTTTGGAGAAGATTTGATACTTCAATCAATTATTTAGCTTCTCTTTATACACGTTATATACAAAGATATTAAGATAGTATCATCAGTATTAACACAATTTCTTATTTTAATTCTCTATTAGAATGAACATTTACAATGTTCGACATGGGCATTCATAATAACATATATGTGCACTTATAACTAGGGGTGTTCAGAAAAACCGACACCGAATAACTGAACCAAAACCGATTAAAACCGAATCGATTAACCGCACAATCCCGGTCAAACGGTTTTTTGTCGGTTAATTAGTTCAATTTTCGATTTTGCTTATATCTTTCTCGGTTAAACCGAATAACTGATTATAATAATCAAATTTTATATGTTTCATATTTTTATATAATTAATCTTTTTTATTTTGTCAAATATTTTACTAAAAAGTTTTGTTGTAATAACATATTTTTTAGTTGAATAGACTATTATAAAAAAAAGAAAGATTTTGATTGTTTCCATTGTAAATTGAGAGTTTAAAAAAGTTTCATTATTTGATGGACCTAAAATATGATATGAACTATATAAATTAGTAGAAAAAAATTTAAAAGTTTGGCTAAACATCAATTATATTTTGTTCAAAAAAATATGATAAATATTATCGGTTAAACCGATAGAAATCGATAATTAAACCGAAAATTGATAAACCGAAACCGTTAAACCGACTACTTAATCGGTTGATTAATTGATTTTATCTAAAATTGACAAAATCGAAATTAACCGAAATCGATTAACCGGTAAACCGGCTAACAGGCCGGTTGAACACCCCTGCTTATAACTCAAAGATTAAAAAGCCCGTACTTTCGCGCGGGATAAAATCTAGTCCATTAGATAATATATCTATTTCAATCAATTGTCGTTTTCAAACCCAATGTATACAGGAAAATTGATTATCCATGTTTTGACAAATTTTAATATTAATTTTAATATATATTTTCTTGCTCAAACACTTGATTTAGTATATCATGCACAATAATAATGTTGCAATGAATTTGAATTTGAGAGAGGATGTGTCTTTGGAGAAGAAAAATTCTCCCAACAATTTTGACCGTTATAGTATTTATCATACACAATATCATTCTGGCGACGAATTTAAATTAGACAGAGGAGATCTTTTTAAAGAAGAATTTTTCCTATAATTTTACAAACCACCTATTTTAGATTGGTTTCAGCACTAAAATGTATTACTTCCTCCGCCCCGATATGAATGTGTAGTTTGGATTTTTATGTTTTTTATAAATTGTATTAAAAATTAAAAAATTAAATAGAACAATTATTTTAGAACACAGTAAGTAATATTCCCTCTATTTCAAAATATAAGTCACTTTAGACTTTGCACGTAAATTTAGGAGACAATCATACAACAATTAATTTATGTGTTTAATATCTGTTTTACCCCTCATTAATTACATTGAAACTATAAACAAGACTAAATGAAAATAAATTGATGATGAAGTTAGAAAAATAGTCATTAATTTGTCTAAAATTTGTAAAACGACCTATATTTTAAAAAATCTCTCCAAATCTAAAACGACCTACAAATTGAAATGAAAGGAGTATAATTATTATAATTAAAGTAAATTGAACAGTTTGTTACACATTTATTAGTGTTAATTAATACGTAGATATTTTGTCCAGATTTAATGGTGTCAAAATAAATAGTACTCCCTCCGTCCCATAATTATTGTCTAGTTTGGGTTTCATTTCTAGTTCAAATTGTACTAAAAGTCAAAATCCAAATTGGACAATAATTTTGGAACAGAGGGAGTAATAAATGATAAGATCCATTCCCCAAAAAGATTTGCTAAAATTATAACTAAAATGCATGCTAAAGAGCAACAAAGATAACTTATTTAATCAAGTTTTCAAGTGGGAAGAAAGAAATAATTAATCTGCAGCAATGGATGTTGACTTGAGTAAGACTGCTGGAAAACCCATTCGATGCAAAGGTAATGTAGACATGATTACTTTATCATTTCAACCGTGGGGTTTGGCAAACAGGTTATATGTATTGCATTTTCCATTTCTCAACAATGCAAAAAGGCAGCAATTTATGCTGACATCTATATGTATGCATATCTTGAGAACACTGTTTCTCTGTGTGTGTGTGTGTGTGCAGCTGCGGTGGCAAGGGAAGCAGGGGAACCACTGGTGATAGAGGAAGTGATCGTAGGTCCTCCAAAACCTGGAGAAGTTCGGATTAAAATCATATGCACTTCACTTTGTTTTAGTGATATCTCCTTCTGGAGACTAAAGGTATAATACTTAAAAAATTTCCCTGCTTTCTCTGTTTTGATAGAGGTAAGGGAATGATAAATCTGAGGATTTTGATTCAAGTGTTTCTATCTTGTCGTTGCTATCTGAAGGTACCTCCTGCGTGTTTCCCCAGAATATTGGGTCATGAAGCAGTTGGGTAAATGACTAAACATTCTTCACCCTGAATCTCATGATTTCTTGCTTAAATGTTCATGTCTAACTGTTGTCTATATAGCCATTTTTCCAGAATTCAATATTGTTTAAGAAGCACATATTCTTTTTCATTTCTTACATTAATCATAGGTAGAAGGGTAGAGATGGTGATTGTATCCTCTTTTATGATTATGCAAGGCTGCTTCTTTTAATGTTGAAAAACATGAACATTAATTTGTGATCTAGGATAAAGATAAGTTTAATAAAGTGATAAAAAAATATTTGGTGATACTTCGCCTTTTCCCTATAGCTTTGATTTGATTGAACACAAAATTGCCAATGAAATGATTGCACCCCTGACTTCCAGGATTGTACTATCATGAGAGCATTGACATTCTTTTCTATTCGACGTTTCAATTGTAAATTTGTAATATGTCTGTGTTTTCATAGACCATTGTGACATGATCCGTATAGATGAATCTAGGATAATCTAATTTGTTGTGTTATGATTAGAGTTCATCTAGTCTTTTTTTATTCTTATGAGATTCTTACACTTTGTGTTCTTAAGGGTTGTGGAAAGTATCGGAGAGGATGTCCACGGGCTAAGCGAAGGGGACATGCGTAGACTGTAAATCCAAAAAGAGTAACATATGTTCGAAATTTCCATTTAGCGTGGCGCCTGGGATGCACAGGGATGGGACGTCCAGATTCACAGATCTCAAAGGGGAAATCATACACCATTTTCTCAATGTCTCGAGCTTCACCGAGTACACGGTCGTGGATGTTGCGAATTTGACCAAAATTGATCCTGCAATTCCACCAAATAGGGCCTGCCTCCTTAGCTGTGGAGTGTCTACTGGTATATATTGGTTCTTCAATCAGAGAGGCTATTCCCTAGACCACATTGAATAGTTTTGGGAATTATAACATATTTTTTACTGATAATTAATATGAGTAATTGATTGATGTCCAGGGGGTAGGTGCTGCTTGGAGATCAGCAGATGTTGAAGCTGGTTCAACAGTTGCTATATTTGGTCTTGGAGCAATCGGATTGGCGGTTTATTTGGTCTTTCTCAAATTTATGAGCTTATGTACAAAATCATATAAATACACCATTGATTGGTATTATACACAGGTTGGAGAAGGATCAAGACTTTGTGGTGCTACAAGAATCATTGGAGTAGATATAAATCCTAGCAAGTATGAGATAGGTAATAATACAGTTCAAACACCTCTACATCTACATATTTTTTAGTTAAGTTCAATCTAAACGCATTGTTTGTTTTCTTTTTTATCTCTTTACAGGGAAAACATTCGGCGTCACTGATTTTGTGGACTCCACAACTCTTGTAGATAAATCTGTGATCCAAGTCTGTACTATACTCTATTTAAGGCTTAAATCACCGTGAACATTTCCGTATTGTGTATAAAAATGTCTTATTACCTCTCGAAAAGAAGCGACTACCTTGATTCATGGTGTGTTTGGAGAATGGAAGCTGACTTGCTTGTTCATTTCAAGTATTTTTCACCATATTTTGTGTTTCTTATTGAAATTTAATTTAACCAGGTGATCAAAGAAATGACTGATGGATGCGTTGGTATGGCTTCGCTGGTTCATGAAGCATTTTCTTGTTGCCTAAAGGTAATAAGATTATTCTTTTTCCCTACGTAGAGGAATCCTTTATTTTGAGTACCATTTGGTCTACCAACACTTGAGAGTAGACTGTGCATAAACACTTATGTTGTTGTCGTTGTTGTTTCAAATCTGAAACTTTCTACTAATATAGTAATCTCTAGGGATGGGGAAAGACAGTTTTATTAGGAGTGGACAAACCAGGATCACAGCTCATTTTCGCCTCAACTGAGGTCCTTCACAGTGGCAAAACAATCCAAGGATCTTTATATGGAGGGCTTAAACCCAAAACAGACATCCCTATTCTAGTTCGAAGATATTTGAACGAGGTAATTAATCATCTCTCTTTATCATACTTAATATCCCCTCCATTCTAGAAGAAATAGTCCTCTTTATTGTATTGTCAAATTTCAACAGAGTCGACTAGTTTAACGGGGACTGGGGAATACAAGTTAACGTGAAACAATCAGGAATTTAGAATTACTCTCTTACTATTATTATTATTATTTTGGCAGGAACTGGAACTGGACAAATTCGTGACTCATGAGGTTGGATTTGAGAACATTAACAAAGCCTTTGATCTATTGCTTGAAGGAAAGAGCCTTCGATGTGTGATTTGGATGGACAAATGAATCTACCTTTGTGATTTTTCACCAGTTTTCCTTGTAGATGTGTTCTATTAGGCATATGAAGAAATAAACCAAAGTTTTCTTTTTCTTTGAATAAATGCATTCCCTTTGTTCCATTTTTTATCTTGAGATTGAGAATGTATATTATTTTCTATTTTTCTCCGTATACATTCGAAACATTGCCAACTTCAATCATATTGCTGAATAAATCAACTCTTCAAGTTGAGAATTGAAGATTAATGTTTTGATTATTTTACACATGGTTTCTAAATCTTTAAGTATAACTCTTTCCGTTCTATGTTAATAGTGTATATTATTGTGGTCTTATTAAGCTTTTCATCCGAAGTGTGACATAAGTTAATTACGGTACGTAGCTGTGTGGCAATCAAAGAATAATCTTGGTAATGCAGCTTGTACTGATTTATGGACAAAATACCTTTGGACCTGGAGATGTCATGGTTGCAGTAACTTTTAAAGTTTAAGCTGCACGATCAGTTTTGGATTGTTCTACAACTTTGTCTGCAATGTAAATTAAAACAATAGAACAAGAGTTTTTGAATTTTGTGCATCTGCAACGGGCCATGAAAATAGTGAGAAATATGTTTATAATTTTTATTGAGTACTTCCGTTGTTCCGAAATAGTCATCTAACTATATTTGAATTTCTAATACAAATTCTACTAAAAATAAAAATTCAAATTGGATAATTATTTTTAGACAGAGGAAGTACTTCATTCTATAATGCTTTTGCATGCCAAATGTCTCAACCGTGAAAATGTTTTTAATGTAACTAGATATTAAACCCGTCTAATGGAAGTGGCAGAAAATTGTCAAAAAATAAATTATTGTGATTGAAAATAAAAGTTGATGAATTAAAAATAAATTGCACGATGATAAACCATGCAATATTTCTTTATACACTATATTTGTTGTCTTGTTATTTATTCTCCATCTTCATTACATGTTAAAACTTTAAGTTTTGTTTTTTTTTATGTAAATTTAGGTAGAGCAATGCACAACTGACAGTGGTTGAAAACTGGACATGGCAGATGCAATCTAACTTGATAAAGGTATTGTATTTGACTTTTATTAATTGTCATCGCACAACAAATGACCATTGAAAATTATCTTCCTTTTACATTACTAATTTACAAAATGTTTAATTTGTCTGCATAAAAACTAGATAATTTATGAAGATGATTTTTTTAAACAGTAAAAATTGAATTGTTAATCTTTCATTTAAACTTTACATAAAGAATGGATGAAAAAATACAGAATTATAATTTTTAATAGAAAAATTAAGGTTCATTAAATAACTTGTGATATCAACATGGAGATACTCAAAACTCCGGTCGATAATATCAAATGAAGTTTAAGCTTAATTCATCTTACTCAAAATTACATGATGTTCGTTTAGATTATAGATTTAAAGTTACACACACATAAAGTCGATGTAAATTGAATGAATATATAAGTTATTGTTAGTGAAGTTAGATTTAAGTGGATCTCTTTTAGATTTTGAATCAAATTCATAAAAATGCACGCGGAAAGCCGGAGAATAGATGGATTCGGGTGGCACTCCGGCGGAGCAATCTCGCCCCAAACGCCATCCGTGACACCTCCGCCGCCTGCCATGTTGCTTGTCCGACTAATATGATTAAGTTACTTTGTTGCGGTGGATTATTGATTTCGTTGACTTGGCATAAGAACTCAATAGAATTCCAATAGCCAGAAATAGCACCAGAAATTCAATCATTATTTCCGGGAAGGATGCTGACAAGAACAATTAAATTGCGCCGGCTTAGTTAACAAGCATGAGGAGGAGGAGCTAGCTAGGCGGCAGATTCCTCTTCCTCTTTGTTCTTAAGCACGAGTTGGCCATTGATAAATACCGGTGAAAATTAAATTGTAAACTATTCCAAGCAAAAGTAGTCATCCATCTTAATTTGAAGATGGAAACTTATTTACTGTAATTTCTATCATTGTTTTTATTCTGAGGGTCAGGGCCCAACATTCACTAAAACATTAACAACACTCATTGCTTTGATAAATCGCTAATCACTTCATATAGATATTACTCCTCCAATTCTTATTATAAAGCATTTTGATTTGTATTAAGTTTCACCTAATATATTTTTCTAATTGAAAAAAATATAAAAAATATTTCTTAAAAATTAGGAAAACAAATTAAATGAGAAAATATTATTTTATGGTTTTTTAATAAAAAAAATACTAAGTAAAATTTAGGACAAATCAAAATATCTTCAAATAAGGACAGAGATAACAACTCCTTAGTCTCTTGGTGAATACAGTGCAATATGAAGAAGAATGAAAAAAAAATAATAAAAAAAATTAACTCACCTCAGCAAGCCCAAATGTACACGCCCACCTCCAAATGTTAAAATTTGAATGTACCATCTTGGTAAAGGAAAAATATTTATAAAAAAAAAAAAAAAAAGTGGCCTTTTTCTCTTATTAACTACAACAATATATACCCTTTCAAAAAAAAAACTACAATATATACAATTTGTAATTGTAGAACTTTCATAAATCTTCACCATTCTATTAAACACAGTAAATATTACGTAAATACCCGCGGGGATCCTCAATTTGTATCTATTGTTACATTGAGTTTAAGGTTAATTAAGTAGAAGTTAGAGCTTGCAAGAACAATAAACTATATTGGTCCATACACATGCCTAACATCATGTAAAAATATTACAATGAAATCTTTCATGAGAATTACGCAGATGATTACATAAAAAAAAATATTATGAAGATTGAAATTGTAAAAATGCATCGGCCAGCCTCTTCCCTAACCGGACTTGGGACTGAGTGGTGAGGTGCATCTGATCGTCTTGCAATTCCAAGCCATTGGCATCCACATATAGCAGGTTTTGAAGCTTCATTCCCCCCTGAGTTTGCCTCACAATGTCGTCGTATCGATATGATATCGATGGTAACGCAACCTATATCAAAATCCACAAAATAAACAAATAAGTAAAAGAGAAAAAAGAAAATCATTAAACGGAACCTTTTTCATAGAGTAGACGTGACTTTTTTTTTTCCTAATCTTATTCTAAGGCAAAATTGACAAAGATTTTCAATTAACCTGAATGATGGGCACAACTGGTAACCGTAAATCAACACGCAAATTGGTGAAAAATCTCTTTAAATTTTTCTCGTAAGATGTGGCATCCTGGCGAGTGATAGAATCACTCTCACCTTGATACCACAAAATGGCCCTAATCCGTCCACCCCCTTTTCTGGCTACGTTGGTTCGATTGACTAGCTGGTTGTATAGCAATGTGCCGTGCTCCCATTCTCTTATGCTTGTACCTCCAACGGCGCAAGGTACCAAACCGATGGTCCCGAAGCCGGAGTCGTTGTTTAGCACTGTATTAGCAAATGCCATGCCCGGTCCAATCCCGGTTGTTTCATTCAAGTCAATGTCTTTGTGCAATGGCTCTTTTGCTGGTTCCCATGTGAGTTTGGCGTTTAACCGGAAAATGAACGGGTCTTGCTTGCACTCCGGCGGAATAATCCCATCCCAAACATGGTGTCGGACGCCTCCTCGGCCAGCCATGTTGCTTTGTCCGGCTAAGATGAATATGTTTGTTGGCCGATTGGCCGCGGTAGCATACAACGGGCTTATCATTCCCAAAAGCAACAAGAGAAACTGAACCATTTCCGCACTCGCTGAAGTAGAGATTTAAGGTACTACTATTTGTGGAAAATTATTAGTGGTTTTTCTCCCTTTTGTTTTTCGTACGTGGGTTGGGAATGATCTTATTATGATGAAGCTCCCAAGTCCCACACCATTGAGAAACATTTTAACTCATTCAAGACAACGATTATTCACATATTAATCCCATCTTTTAGTTGTTAATTAGTGGTTACAATGTAGTACTTGGGAGAATTGGTTGGATGTAATTTTGTTTTGACTAGACTCACACAATTAGTGCTAGTTACTTTTTTGTTAATTAGGTGTGCAAGAATTAAGTCCATGCGTGGTACATGACTAAGTCAATTTATACTAGTACTAGTAGTCATAAAATACTTCACGTTTTTACTAATGCATTTAAAATTCCCCAAGTAATAAATACTTGTTGTAATATGTTTCACGTAACATTTTCTCGCGCACCACTTACAGAAGTTATCACGTGTATATTTGAATGCTAATTTATAAAATTTAGCTCAATATAATGAAATATGTTAGCCAGTTCTACCATGCCAAAAAACAATAATAAAAGAAAATTCATCACCGGTGCAGAAAGGGATTTGAGATGGCATGGTTGAGAAACTATAATCGTGAGTTTAGAGATTAATTAAAGTAACGAATAATTTCAATATGTGAAGATTGTTTTGTTCTTCTTTTCCCTGATGAAATAGGCTGAAATATTTGCAGTATCCTCGATATGAGAAGATAACTTTCATTCTCTTTTTTCCTGAAATTAATATATGTGGTTTCGATATGGGAAGATAGTTTCCATTTCCTTTTCACTGAAATATTTGGGGAAATAAAACTAATTGGGAGAGAAATGCAAAAGCGATTTCCACCAAATTACTATACAATTTTTTTTTCATAAATAATTCTCAGTACAACAATTAGTAAAACAATATGGGATGCAGCCAGCTGAGAGGAAAAAGACAAGTCACTGCCACTACCTCAGTTTTCTAAATTTGTTCTAAGTTCTAAACACAAATACTTGTTTTTTGTTGGTTTTTTTTTTTTTTTTTTGAACAAAATTATTCGAGGCATATATGAAGAGGTAGCTCTCCAAATCACGCAGCCGATAGACTCTTCCTGATGTCAAGCTTTTGTCGCGTAATCGCGTTTGCTATAAAGAAAAGAAATTTCATAATACAATCTCAAATAATTAACGTCATTAGAATTCCAAAGTCCTTATGATCAACCATATTCGATAGTAATTAAGACCAATAAACAAATCTTAATTACTGAAAGTCATAAAAGCTTAAGGAAATAGACTTATTTGGTGAAACCAATATGATAGATTAGAGGTTGCAACCAATATGGTTTAAAGTCTAAACAATATATATATATATAGGAAAATTCTAGAATCTAGTCGTAAGTTTTTAACTGAATCATTCAGTTTTATTCTATCCAATCAAAATTTAGTACCTATGGTATGTCTATAGGGTGAGATGTTTCTAACAAATTCAATTAACAATATTAACTTGCAAATTAGGCATTTTTTGAAAATTGTCATTAAATAATATTTGTAGTAAAGATAAACACTAGACTAGAGTTATCGTGTTGCGGAACAAATCCAGTCGTCAATAGTTTCTTGCACTTAAGGCCAAAAGAAAATCCAGAAACACACATACTACACCATTTCCAATTTTCCATTCCTCCATCTCCTCGCGTTCAACATTCTCATCAATATATATTTTTTGTCTCCATTAAAGCACAATATTCAATAACAAAATTAACACCTTGACGTAAAAGCACCAACAGGTTTGCCAATTTAATTCGTAAACACCATAAAATTGGTTTCAAATTCACCATCCCAATTAATGATAGTTGATCAAAGATTCCAGGAAATGGGTTAATCATTCTCGTTGTTCATTTTAGAAGCACAAAAATGGCAAACCTTTGTTGGATATTAAGTTTATCCCAATAATATAAAATGCAATGGAAAACAATATAATGACTCACTTTGATTTTTATTTTAGAAGTTAAATCCTGATAGGGATTTGCTTCTTCAATATAGGCATTTTATATTCTCTACCAGTTCTAGAGGAGAAGGGAGCATCATGATAATTAAGCTTGAACTGTAGTTTATAATTTTTGTTGGTCACAATGAACTATACTAAAAAGGATAAGGGAAAATTTGTATTAAGGGCAGTCGACAAAATCATATTAATAAAAGGGGTACAACTCTTCAATAATTTATGTTAGGGGCAATAAATTACATTCTAAAATTTTTTACAAAATTAAAATATTTTTGCTTTGACACAATTATCCTTATATTGTAACATTTTCACAGAGACAAGAAATACTCTACCTCAAAGGGCGGTTCTCAATTTTTTCAATTCAATTGCTGTTCTGTTACTCAAAAATCTAGCGAAGCCAATCCTCTCCAATCCTCCTTGAAATAAAATCCAATTTCACTTATATAAAATAGGAGAAACGTTATGATTGTGATTGTGGATTTTGATACTACCTTAACCAAGTATTGGATAGACGGACATAGAGGGGAGTGAGTAGTTTAACCATTTTTCTGATATTTGGTTTCATCCACTCTCTGGGTCCCCATTTACCAAATTCGAACTATTGGCATTGCTTGCCTTGCTTTCTGAGTTTTTTTTTTTTTTTTTTTTGTTCACGTCTATGGTCAAAGCTTTTCCCGACGATAACATGAGTTGATTACTTAAACGTAGGCAGTCAGTTAAATTCCGGCATAGCTTCAGTGATATTCTCCCAACAGAAATACTCCGACAGCTTGACAGTGGTCGGAATCTCACTTGTCACCGCCATTGTCTGCGAAGCCATATCTTGGCTATTCATCTACCCAACGAGTTCCTACAAAACTCTCAAATCCTCCATTGATAAATCCTCAAAGAAGCTCGAGACCTTGAAAGGGGGGCCAGCCAGCACCACTTCATCGTCTAAAACCGAGAAGAAGATGCACCGAGACGTCGCTTAAGGATTCAAGCCGGGATCTGTCGGTGTTCAAGTCCAATGGCTCTATGGCTTCTTTGAACTTATTGTGTTTCGTCACTAATATCAGGACAAATCTCCAGAAGTTCTTTGGATTTTCTCCTCCACGTAGCGCCGGTCTTTTCCCCATGTCGGATGCGAAATCCAATTGATCGGAAAAATAGCTTTGACTTTGGTATTAAAGTAACTTAGTAGTACTATTTTCCCCCTCACTTTTCCTTCTCAATTCATGTACTTCTTTGTGTACTCTGGAATATTTGGATTAGAGAAAACCTCCACCTCTGATCACATATCGGATTTTGTTGTTAAATCAAAAGTCCACTCTTTTGGAGAAATTATAAGTGGAATCGTTGGAGTTTCTTTAAAAAATAAAAAACAAAACGTAGGCAATCATGGTTTGTTGTAGCCGAGGAATATTGAATTTGATGAGAAGAGGCAGAAGTTATACGAGTATTATCAATCCAACCTGAGCGGCAATAAACACATACGGATTTGATGGAGATGGAGAAGAAGATCTGTTAAAAAAAATCTTGAAATAAATAAAAGATACGAGGTCAATGATGTTAAAGATAAACTAAATTAATTTTGTAAATTTTAGGATATAATTTACCGCCCCTGATATAAACTATTGAAAAGTTATACCCCTTTTGTTAATATGATTTTGTCCACTGCCCTTGATACAAATTTTCCCAAAGGATAATACCATGCTTTAGACTTAAAGCATTTAATCACTCTTAGGAACAAGGAAACCTCTAAAGATTTGGGACTACAAATTAACTGTACATAAATGTGTAGTTGATAAAAGAAGGAGTAAAAGACACTATCTCTTTTGCTGTAGTTGATTAATTGTGTTATAAGGGTGAAATCAAGAACTAAGTCAAAAACAATTCATGATATAGTTTGAGTACTTTGCTTCATAAGATGCAAAGTTGCAGGAAGCACTAGTTGTTGTTGCTTTTTTGTTTTTGTGTTTTTTTGGGTGTTGGAAGAAAAAATAATTTGTTTTTTTTTTTTTTTTTTTGAAGAATTTGGATATTGAAAGGAAAAGAAAGTGGAAAATAAATCCGTTCAGTTAGTTACTTATGAAATGATTAAGTGTGATGCGTTGTTCCGTTAAGTCTGGTTTCCTGACGGATTTTGACACTAGTGCTTCTATTTGTACATAAATCCGAAATTGAAAAATCGCAAGATTTTTCTTCTACTCATATTTTGACAAAAAGAGATTCTTTGAAGTATCATTCTATCTAATTCTATTTGTAAAATTAAGTGATGGACCGAGGTTCTTACTCGGAGGTGCGGTATCCTTCGTGCTATGAAATCGACCGTCACTATGTATTATACCAAAGACATGCTAGAACGAAAGATCTAAACGCTGTTTTTCGGAACAAGAATTCATGATTGTGGTGGGCAAACGCATCAGGGACGAAGAGAAACCTTCTCAACTCTTTCACTAATTTGGGTATGGAAACAAAAATGAATGTGTACTGATTTTAATTTCTCCTTGAAATTTTCTCCAATTCCAAAACTCCCAGGAACCATTACTCGATAAAGGTACAAGATGAGGCTAAAACTCGAAAAAAGCACCAGCAAGCATCTGCCCTAGCTTAACTTGGGATTCAGTAGTGAGATGCAAATCATCCTTCTGCAGTTGGAGTCCCTTGGCATCTACACATCTTACGTTTGGAAGCTTAATTCCCAACTGAGCTTGCCTTACAATGTCGATAAATAGCCCTTCTCCCGACGCCAAAGCCACCTAATTAAATCACAACAATAAAGATTCAAAATTGACGCTTCAATTGATTTAGTGTTCATCCATAAATCAGTCATGCGAGTCCAATTAGCGCGATTATTAATTACTATCAGATAAATGAAATGCATATTACATGGCAAACGTTTATCAATTTTTATTTTTTACCTGAATGATGGGAAGTGAGGGGAAACGCAAGTCAGCACGTACATTGGTCAAAAACGTCTCCAAATTCTTCTTGTAAGACAACGCATCCTTTTTATTGATAGTATCACTTTCACCTTGATACCACAACATAGCTATGATAATTCCACCACCTTCTACTGCGACATTGGCTCGGTTAATTAGCTGGTTGTATAAGAAGGTGCCACGCTCCCATTGACTAATTTTTGTACCTCCGATGGCACAAGGCACCAGACCGATACGCCCCAAACTTGGATCCCGACGCAAAACCGAATTGGCAAATGACATGCCTGGACCAACTCCATTAGTTTTATTCACATCGATATCTTTATGCAACGGCTCTTTTGCTTCCTCCCAAGTGAGGTTAGCGGAAAGCCGGAGAATAGACAGATTGGACTGGCACTCTGGCGGAACATTCCCGTCCCACACACCACCCGAAACTCCTCCCCGGCCAGCCATGTTGCTTTGTCCGGCTAAGATGAATATGTTACTTGGCTGTGCTAATTTGATTTCTTTGACTTGAGCACTAGAACTAGTCAAATGAAATCCAATTGCTAGAAGCACTAAAAGTAACTCAAACATCTTTTCTAGCAAGGTAATCACCAAATTAGTTAATGCACAAAAAAAATTATCAAGGGAGACGGGGGATTCTTCTTATTTGTGTAATTGTATGCTACGATTTGCCATCGATATATATACAGTTGTGAAAATTGTAAATGATTCCAGACAGAAGTAGAAACAAAACTGTGAAATTGGAAATTTAATTAATAGCTATCATTTTTTGTTATTATGAGGGGACAGGGTTGATGTAACAGAGCCCCCTTTCCATTTTAGAATGTACTATTTAAATTAATGATTTTAACTTAGTAACAAATTATTCACATACTACGTACCCATTCAGAGTGCATGCCCCCAGTCCAAGAAAATTGAATTTACCGATTTATAACTAACAAACAAACAAAATGAAAATGCGCCTCTTCTTTTATTATTAGTATATATATCTTATATTCTAAATTTGTAATAAATGTGGAACGTTCATACCATTAGCCTTATATATATGAGGTTCAACGAATATACTCTTTGGTACACATGGTACAAACTAATGAACTAAGTCGATCGACATAATTCTCTCTTATCAAAACTCTTTTCTGGGACGACGTCGAATTTACATCTTAAACAATGTACCGTAACAATGAAGGACGGAAGGATTGAGTTGAAGTAGTATAGTTTGAAATTATTATTATTTTGAAAAAAAAAATCGAAGAAGTGGATGAACCAATCTCAATTTTAATTATCTATGACTGAGATACATTAGGTGGTGAATCTCAATTTAGAAAAATAATAGCCTTGGGACGTATGTATGTGTGTGATAAAAGAAAATACACAAGGTCAGATAGATTAAGTTGTTATGGTTGGGACTTAGAAGTTATAACTCACAAATAAAATGAACTCTAAACTGTTGACCACAAAAAAAAATAAATTGAAATTATTTAGATTACAAATTTGTTCTATCTCTATAGAAGTGTTGGATATTTTCTCGTTCCTTGAACTATAATGGCATTTTCTTAGCCAAAATTGATCAATAGATTTTTCCTAGTTCTCTCTTTTTATTGCCCTCTGATGTAGACATCATGGTGTCACACGTAAAAAGGATTAAGAACTAAAGATGATATAATCAAGATTGCAAGAAAAACTTTTCAAGGTATTCAAGATCCATATATGGTTTAATTAACATTTGGAGTACCAATTACAAGAGCTCGTGCAAGAAAGATAGTCCAAATGGTCAAATACTCTTGTCCAAGAGGTTCTAACTCAATTGTGTGAAGCACAATAGCAATGGTGACTCCTTCAGATTCTCAGGATTATAGAGCAGCAAAATCAAACAGATATGGATTTTTTTCAATTTTTTTTGGATAATTATAATATAAAGTTTCAGTTGTAATGAGTTTCACATTAGCAACATACTATTGTCAAAGAATAGTTAAACATATTTTTCCTAAAGAATCTCTGCCCCCGCTATGCGGGGGCTTTGGTGACATATTCTCAGACACTTCTATTTACTTAAGGCCAGTGATATTGCCAGCACTGTTTTTAGCTTCCAAAACAAATTTGACTTATCTTGCCAAAATTGCCCTTATCAAGTCAAACTCTCTATCTCTCTCCAATCTACCCCCTAAAAGATGTCGATTGTCCCTAATCGCTAACATTGTGATCTGGATTTATTTTTTGAGGGAGATTGCGGAATTTTTTTGGAGGGAGATTGAGATATCGGAGAAGAAGATATGGCGGGGTAATATGACGGAAGAGAACTCAAAAGACAATCTGCGGAGAGATTTGGGGGAGACAAATGGGTAAGTTGACTTGATAAGGGAAATTTTGACATGATAAGCCAAATTTGTTTTGGAGGCTAAAAACAGTGCTGGCAATATCGCTGGCCTTCACTTAAATAGCATTAGCCCTTTACAAGTTAGAAAAAGTAATTATCAGTTTTTTTCAATATTCAGATGAACAATATTGTTGCTTTTTGGAAGCTAAGATCCTTTCAACATTTTCACAAATATAAAACTTCCGCGCAATCTACAACTGAATTAGTTTCAGAAGCATTCCCTAATGTAGAAGGTTGTTTGACGGGGTTGAAAATTTCCCTCGCTTGAATGGCGAAAGATGGATCCTCATCACTGATCACCTAAGCCTCAACATCGGGAAAGGAAAAGGAAACGGCTCACTTGGATTTTGGTAGTGAGTGCTCTGTGCTTGTTTGATGTTCTAGGTGCTTGGTACAAGTCCTTCCCCTTCTAACCAATCTAGGATAAAGGAAAGGATTAACTGTGAAGTACTCCCTCCGATCCTTAATATAAGATATTTTGATTTGTTTTAAGTTTAACTTAATACATATTTTTAAATGGCCAAAAAATCTTAAAAATATTTCGCATTCGTTGTATTCTCTTTATTGTTATGAAATATTTTTTAAATTTTTTGGTCAATTAAAAATACGCATTAGGTTAAATTTAGGATTGATCAAAATGTCTTATATTAAGGACCAGAGGAATATGAAAAAGATGTGAACAATCGGCTCATCTATGGGGAGAATCAAATTGACATTGGTTGGGTTGTTTAAAATTGGAAAACTGTAAGCAATTTATTCAAGGAGGAATAGGAAGATAGGAATAATGGCGTCGGGTATCAGAAGGAGGTACAATGGCAAACGTAAATTCTATTGTCACATGGTATGAAATTCAAGCCTCGAGTTTGGTTACATAATGTTTCTTTTCTTTTTTTTTCTTTTTTTTTTTTGAAGAAAAAAATTCTCCAATAGTGGATATTCATCTATAAACCTTTACTAATGTTATTATTAAGTTTTAGTAAATTTGATAATAGCACAAATTAGTCCATCAATAGTAGGATTAGGATGATTACATAATAGCACAAATTATATAACATGATTATTTTGTTTTAAACAAATGAATACATTTTACAAATTATTATACAGTATAATTTAATTAGAGGTTAAATAAAGAAAGAGGAAAGAAACAGATCACCTACGTGTTGGACTTCTGATTTTGCTTCCTGAATGAATGATGACAACAAAACATTAATTAGACTTGTTTTTACTGTAGAACTCATAGTGGGGTGGTACAATAAAAAAAAGAAAAAAAAATTGGGGCAAATAATGACGACCGACGAACGAACAAAGATCCTGTAGAAACCACCACTCCTACTTATATATATATATATATATATATATATATATATATAATGACGACCGACGAACGAACAAAGATCCTGTAAAAACCACTACTCCCGCTTTATATATATACTGACGAACGAACAAAGATCCTATAGAAACCACTACTCCCGCTTTATATATATATATATATATATATATATAGATATATAAAAAGCGGGAGTGGTAATTTCTACAAGATCTTTGTTCGTTCGTCAGTCATCATTATTTGTCCCAATTTTTTTACACCGGAGCTTAACGGGGTCCCCCAAAACCAATATATATTAAGCTCCGGTGTAGATTCATTAATTACTCGATTCAAACTACTAAACCTGTAGATAAAACACGTATGAATAATCAGAAACCCAAAACCCAAATTATTACTCCCATAATAACGGTTAACATTTTGTCAAAAGATATGGGAAAATCACAAATTTTGTGTACTTGAGAATTGTGGAAAAAGAAAACACAGTACTCAATGGCGTTCTTAACTACGATAATGATAAGATGTGGGTCGACATTATTTCCATAATTTTGTGATGTAAAACAGAGAAACAGAGTTCAGATTTTAGAATTCAGAGGAAAAAGGGTAAGAATGGTGGAGAAGGGGAGCAAATCAGAATATAAAAATAGGGAGGCGGCTAGAGTTCTTAGAAGGGATAAAAGATGAGAAGTTTGATAACATTTCCGAATGCCTTCATCATCACCGTTCGTACATATTTAAAGGATTCCAAACTCTATTTGCATAATTTAGATAATTTAAGAAAAAACAGAATGAAATGCAGCAACGGAATTATCCAGCCAGCTCAGTTTTTGTCTTACTTGCATGAAACGAAGCTTCCTGGTAGCTTCCTCCAACTTCTGCCCCAATTAACCTTAAAACGACGACGCTTCTTTGACCTAATTGAACCTCTGAATTGACCCGCCAATCAGACCCGCTTCTGGAAGACCCGAACCTAAGCAATTTGGATTTTTGCGTTACAAATTTCTGGGATTCAGAATTACATATGTTAATTCAAAAGAGAAGGACAAATGCCCTACCCTCTTTGATGCTCCCCAAAACCTTGAAGGAAAAAAGTTTAGCCCAAAGTCCTCTGAAACAAAGCCTACCGCGTTAGCCCGTAGAGCTGAGAAAGATGGAACAACGGTTTTATATAGCTCTTACCAATTATCCATAAATTCCCAATTGTATTCCTACTTAATTTATTTTGTTTTTTTCCAGATTATATTAATAATAAAAATAATTTCGTTTCACTTACGTCCGAGGATTTAGAGATTTAGAGGACAACATAATTCCCTCCCTATTAAGAATTGGATGTAAATTTCGCCTCCCTATTTAATTCACTAATTGATTACCTTTATTTAGAGAAAAAGTTTCCTAAAAAGAATACAGTATTTCACTATTTATACCGGTGGTGAATCTGGTGATTGCCAAACCAAACTTAACCTCGTCAAAAAAACAAAAATAACCAAAATCTCATTTGGTTTTGGTTTTTAAAGTTTTTAAAAGGAGCACAAACTCCGGCGGTTCCGGCATCCGACCAGTCAATTAGAAGTAATATTGAATAAGGTTACTTCTTTAGGGATTGTAACATTTGTACTAGTAGTTAAATTATTTCATAGTTGTTCATAGATAAATTTTATCATCGTCGGAGCCCGGTTTTGTGGTCGGAGTTGTTCTTCATCTCCTCTTCTTCTATGACTACTCCGTCAACGGACTTGTGGTCGGAGCTGCCAATTGACATCAAGGCTGAGATCTTTTTCCGGCTGCCAGAACGGGATCTACCCATGTCCAAGTTCGTATGCAAAGATTGGAACTTTGTGATTTCGAAGGTCTGTATTCCAACTTTGTCTCCCTCTGGCCCTTCTGCCCCTTTAATCGGTTTTCTGTTTTTTGAGGATCACTCAGATGCTGCCGGCGCCGGTGACTCGAAGTTTTGGAAACCTGTGTTTCTTCCAAGGGGCCAATTCGGACAAAGCGTGTTATGCAGGAGAAACGCGCAAGGACGGCCAATAGACGGCAACATTTTGTCTCTGTCGCCAAAATCGCCGGAGAAAGCCAACGTCCTAGATTGTTGCAATGGAGTTTTACTCTTAGCAGCTCCTTCTCTCCATTATTGTTCCTACTACTTGGGCAACCCTGTCACAAGAGAGAGGCTGGCTATTCCTCTCAATCCCAAACACAAGCAGAACAACTCCAAGGTCCATTCTTCATTGATTTTTGATCCTTTCATTTCCTTCAATTTCAAAATTGTTCGCTTTACTCGGCCGGCTGTGGATGCCTCACCTGCTCAACCTATTGAATTGGACATTTTCTCTTGGAGGACTAAAACATGGTCCAGCCATTTTCTTCAATTGGAGGAGCCTCACAATCTGTTTGGGTTTGAGTGGATCAGGCGCTCTGTTTACTTCAATGGGGCGCTCTATTACATTTCTAAAGCACAATACTTGGTTTCTATTGATGATGACATCCTCAAACTTGATGGGCCGGATGTGGATGGTTGTTCTGCTCTAAGAGCTTGGAGCATTGAGCTTCCTGACAAATTCGACCACACAACAATGGAGAATCAGGATGATGATGGTCATTGTGGGTGCATTGGTAACTCTTCCGGGAAGTTTTATTACTCCAATCGGGATGCTCAAGGTGTTTTTATGTTTGTCTGGATGCTGGTTGTGGACAGGAAAAACTCTCACTGGGTCCTGCAGCACAGAATCAGCATTAAACATGATATTGGAGGTTCCTTCTTAGCAAAATTAATTGAGAAGGCCAAAAGGTTAGATTCTTTTAGGCCTAGAGCATTCCATCCCCTTAAGGACCAAATATTTTTTGCTTCTCCTAGAGTCCTTATTGGTTATGACCTTAATACCAAAGAGGTTTGCACTAGCACTTCCTATGTAGCCTTCCATGGGCGTAGCAACATAGTCTTTGATCATAATTTAATCTTCCCCCTCTTCCGATGCATGTTATTGATAGGCGAATTTGGGAGCCAATAAATTGTTGAATAAGTGTGAAGGGAAGCTGTGGAGCCAGAGAGTACCACTTGCTTATGTTAAATTATTTTGTTGGACTGCAACTGTTTTACCTTTATGCAGTGAGTTTTTGTATTTTGTTTGTAAAGGTGCTTAAGTTAAATTATTTTTTTGAAGGTTTTATCTTTATGCAGTGAGTTGTTGTATTTTGTTTGTAAAGATTGCTGCTTTCCATGTAGTTCATCACAGTTTGGCTTATAATGATGCCATTTTGCTATGGTTGTTCTACTATGTTAGTTGGCATTGAGCCTTATGCTCGAGACCTAGATTATAAAGTGAATCACTTTTATGCGTTCTTAAATTTTTGAGAACACAAGTGAAACAGATTTGCTTTTAGTATTTTGACTGAAATTCAAAGTGATGCTAGTAGCTGTCAAAGTTGTTTCATGTTTTGGGACTTGCAATGCACTTGATGCAGCACAGAAATCTGCAAGGTTAAAATTAACATCTGGTCAATGCTTAGAATGAAAAAGATGTAGTGAAGGATCTTTACCCTTTGTTGATAAGCATACTGTTGGGGAAAAGCTGAAGGGAAAAGCTGGAGAAGAGTTCTTGGACCTCACTCATAGATCCACAAGGAAACTGCTGTGGTTTCAAAGGTTGGATCTTTATATCAATTTTTCTTTCTCTTATGACTGTTGAGAATTCTGCATGGGGCTCTATCTTATTTTAGCTCTCTGTGTATATGGTTTATTACTTGGCAGAGTTGGTTGCTTGAGCAATTTATGGTAGCCTGGACAACTAAGCTTAATCTCAGTGCTTTGTTATACCAGTCTCCCTTCTATAATCCATCCTCTACAGAGAAAATGTTTGTAGGCCTTGCAGATTGTAGTAAACCCCATTATTTCAAAATTTTTACGCTTAAGATGTTTAATTGGCATCGAGCTTAATATTTTTTATGAGATTGCACCTTAACTTGTTCGGCTTTGAAGAAAGGTGGTTCTCAAGTGAATTAGTATTACTTGGCATTTTCAATCTGCATACTGAAGACTTAAAACCATTTGCTTCAATTCATATGAATGTGTAGTTGCCTTTCTTTGTGTGTTTAAGAGCCTCATTTATTGTTTTAGTTAGAAAGCAAAGAGCATCTTAAGTTCTCAACATTAAATAAGGCAGCTTGTTGATGTCGGTATGATTTTAATATTGCCTGCAAAAGGGTTCTTTATTATTTCCACTCATTAAACTTGATCATTATGTTAGGACTGGTACTAAATTTTTTATGTTAATAGCTTGATTGTCCTGCTGATCTGTTCATAGGACTTAATAACTGCATATTTGTTGCAGTATATGTTCATTTCTGAAGGATCATTACTGCACATTCCAGCATCTATACTTGTGTGACTGCGCTCTTCTCGTTACTTGACACCAGTTGTACAGCCTGGATTTACTCTATTTTAACTGTATATTTTTCTGAGATTTACCTTCAATGCCTTTTAGTCTTACTGACTGTTGACATGCTGCTATGTGCATGGGCCTATTCGTCTTTATAATGTAAGTTATATTAAATTTGATAGGTTATCAGTTATTAGTGCAGTGGCTTTTTCTTGGATTTCGAACATATAAGACATTGATGTCCTTTTTGGAACTGGGTCATTTTGTTAAAATGTTATTGGTAGTGGACATTCTGCAAATTGTCGAAAAAGCTAGTAAAAGTTTTAAGCATATATTTGTACGTTTTAAAAAGCGAATATGCTAGTCATGTCATGAGCTGAAAGTATAATGCTTTTTTTAAAACAAGAAACAAATCATTATGTTCCTGTTAAAAACCATAGGAAAACAAATGAGTTGTGATTGTTTGGTGACCTGTCAACTGCAGCAAATAATCAGAACATGGCTGTGGTTCAGTTAGGAGCATGGTGGGATAGAGTGTATGTTGAAGTTAATAGAAACTTCAGATGTTATTGATGCCTGAGACTAACTGGTGAAGTCATATTTGTCATGTCAAGGGAGAAGAAAATCCAACAGGAATGACAGAAAACTTTTAATGATCCTGATCTTTTCTCTCTTGCAACTGGACAGTGTGCTGCCAAAGTTATCGTGACCATGCATAACCATCCCCCAAACTTTTTCTTTCTCCTCTTTAGCTGAGTTTTCTAAACTTCAAACCATTATGCAATTTCCAAGGTGTAACATATCTTCTTTGTCATGTGTAGGTGGTTGTGGACTCCACTGCTGTAAGATTCAGGAACTTGGAAAACTTCAGGAGCCCCAAATGTGCGGACAACTGCATTGGTGCCTGCTTTTGTGTCTCAAGAGGAGCCCACAAGTCTAGACGTTGACCTAAGTATAACAAAGCAATATCGTCTTTGTCATTCTAACTACTGTAAGTTAGCATCTTTTTGTTGATTCTGTGTATAGGGGGTTGACTGCAAATTTTGGACATGTAATTGGATTTGTCGTTAGTTTGAGGGCGAACATTGCTTCCCCTACTTACGCCAGACTCCCACTTTTATGCGTCGGACGAGACATATGGCAGTTTGGCCATTCTGATACGCAGCGGCTATTCATGTATACTCTGAGGATCGTGTTTTACCAGCAATATAATGTACGAAATAGAGCAAGTGTTGCTCCTTTAAATATCGAGTCCCATTGGTTTAATCGGTCAGTGAACCAGTCCTAAAGGGATTGAAAGTAAAATTGTTAAATAGTACTGTATACTATGACCTTGTAAGAGTAGTGACAACATTGATCCTGTATAGTATGATCGTGTTTCATACTATCAGGCAAATCTTGTTTGCTGTAACTCTCTGCAACCCGTTTAATTGCTTAGTGTGTAACAACATTGCAGTTAGTAAATATGTAGTTTTTGGCAATTTTGCTTTTGGGAATGTTGGCAGCTAGAATGAAGCAGGTGAAGAAGGCAGAAGAAGAAATTTCGACCCCCTCAATTTCATGCATCATATCAAGCATTCATTTTTGTTTCCTTGCCAAAAATTGTTTCATTTACTCAAATATCAACAGCATCTTGTAAAATGGGTGAATTGAATAACCTTTTCTTTTTCCGTGAGATGATAATTTGCATCAATAAAATCCAGTGGATGAGTTCAGAGAACTAAAACTACAATCTTATGGTCCTAAAATTCATGCACTCCAAGTCAAATCTACTTACAAAACAAAGCTGATAGCCTGACACTATCTATTTAGGATTCCCTCATTTACAATTTATAAGCTCAACAAGGTTTCAAAAGTCTCCCGGAATTCTTCACCGATTACTAAAAGCGATCCCCTCCATCAACTTTTGAACCGTGCTCCACAAATATATGAATCAGTAATCAACATTCTGGTTCTGCAAAGCACATGGAAGCAGTTTAGTAACTACTAAGTTGATAATACTATAAAACTACAATCAACCTTAACCAGTGGAAAGAACAAAAACACTTACTAATAAATCTATTGTGCGGATCACATCAAGTGCTGAAGGACGCAAGTCCGGATCACCTGTAAGCAACATCATGAGTACATCATGGAAGGTACCGTGAACATAATCTGCCGGTTGCACACCACGTCCGAGATCTTTGAGTACCCCAACCCTCTTTTGTGTATCAAATCCTTGCATCGGGTAAACCAACTCGAACATTATCACCCCGAGTGAAAACACATCACACTTACTATCTAATTTTGACCCTTCAGACAATTCTGGAGCCTTGTACATGACCTTTCCACCTTTCGGGTTCTCCACGTTTACCTCTCCAGGACCTAACATGATTGCTAATAGAAAAAGACAATGAAAGAAGTAAACAGATATTCTGTAAACAAAGTAAATCCAAAATTACACATAAAAATATACTAACCACATCCAAAATCACCAATCTTAGCAACACCGTTGCTATCAAGAAAAATGTTATCTGGGGAAAGATCCCGGTTAATTATACCTATTTTTTTAGAGTAAAAGATAAAGACTAACATGTCCAAATGGTCCCTTATATTTGGGCTTACTTGATTTTTATGTCCCTAACATTAACATTTCAATATGGTAATTCCAAACAATATGTTTTCACACTTTTTTGGTCCCATTTCACTGTTTCGTTTTCCGTCTAACTCGATGTTGACCGACAGTTGACATGCCGGAATCAGGGGTACTTTCGTCTTTTTATATAATTTAAACTTCCATTAAAATTTAAATCATTAAAAATATTATAAAAAATAACATTTATTATTTACTTGTTAAAATATTATTTTAAAATTTTAAAATTTAAATTATTTTCAAAGTTACTTTTTTCTTTACTAAAATAAATGTTAATTATGTTGCACTTTTAACCGTCCACTGTAACTTTAAAAATTACCGAATCACAATAAATAATTCAAAATTCAAATTAAAAAAAAAAAAACAACACAAAACCAAGATTTTTGACTTTGACAGCTACAATAAATCTTGAGTTATTTCTAAAATTTCACTGCGCTATAATAATTAATTAAAAATTCAATTTTTTTTAAAAAAAAAATACAATAAAATTTTGGGGTGAAAATTCGGATAAAAAATGGTTTCTTTAAGTTTTTGGCTTAGTTATTGCTTTGAATTGAAGATATAATTTAAAATGTGCTTTTAGTGAAAATTCAAAAATTTGTTGGGATAAAAATTCAAAAAAAATAATATTATTTTTACACCACCACCTCTACCGACGCCGCCCGCTGGACCACCTCCTGCTGCCGCCGGCCGGCCGAACTCCGGCGACTTCGCCGGAATCTCGGCGGAATCTGGCTGGCCGGTCGCCGGCCGGCGGCGTTCCGACGGTGGCAGGAGGTGGTCCGGCAGCAGGCGGCGTCGGTGGAGGTGTGGAGGTGATGGTGTATAGATAATATTATTTTATTTGAATTTCTATCCCAACAACTTTTTAAATTTTCACTAAAACCACATTTTAAATTATATCTCTAATTCAAATTATAAATTAAAATAACTTAATTTTTATCAGGATTTTCGCCCCCTCAATTTTCTTTCCTTCGGGCCCACTGGATTTTTTACTTCGACCGAATAAAAAATTGATAGGTGAAAATTCGGATAAAAAATTTAGTTTGCTTTTTCCTTTTAAACAAAAAATTGAATTTTGAATTAGTTACTGTAGCACGGTAAAATTTTTGAGCGATATGGAGTTAAAAATGGAACGTAATTAATATTTATTTTGTATCCAGCATAAATGATAAATAGAAAAAGAAATTTTTTAAAATAATGTAATTTTTAATTTTATAATAATATTTTAGCAATTAAATAATTAAATGTGAATTTTATGATATTTTTAATAATTTAAATTCCAATGAAAGTTCAAATTAAGTCAAAAAATGAAAATACCCCTGATTTCGATAAGTCAACTACCAGTCAACATCGAGTTGGACGGAAAAGTGGCCGAAACAGTGAAATGGGACCAAAAAAGTGTGAAAATATAATGTTTGGGACTACGATATTGAAATGTTAATATTAGGGACGGAAAATCAAGTAAGCCCAAATGTAAGGGAGCATTTGGACATTTTAGTCAAAGATAAAAAATTTAAAAAAAAAAAAAAGAAAGAAATGTGTTAGACAACATATAAGTCCTATTAACAAGCAATTCTAAAGTACTAAATACAATTTTCAGTGTGTCGGTTCCGATACAATTAACTGGATTAGAGCTAAAATACCAGAGTCCTGGGACTCTAAACAGAAACGCAAAAAGCCTACTACAGTAGTTTGGAAACTGAAAAGAGCCTATCAATCCTGCCCAAACCACTAAAAAGCAAGAAGAAGAGAAGAAACAGACTATAATTTAATGAATGTGGATGATGTTAATGGTGCAGAGAGACTATTAAATGTTGAACAGGTTCTAGATATGGCTGAAGCAGCAAAGGGATATAAGGGTCACCAGTTCCAGGAGACAAACAACTTATGGGTATGTTACGAATTAGAATGGAAGTCACAGGAGAATTCTGATTTTAAGAACGAAAGTAGGGAGTGAGTATACTACTAAATCAGTCAGAACAATATCTGAACTGTTTAGCAGAGGAAAAGCTTCCAGGAGATAAACAAATTCGCAGCAGTCTACACAGCAATACATAAGTGAACAGAGGTCAACTTTGGTTAGATCTCATGAAGTTGTTCATGAACATGAGCTTTTTACTTGGGGAGGGGGGGTGGGTGGGTGGGTGGGTTGGAGGAAAGCAATTCTTAACAATTTTCGCTAGTTGACTACATAATTTCTAAGGGAAGAAAAAAGAATTTTTGAATGGAATATACCTTGTTGATGAATGAAATTTAATCCATTGGCTAACTCTCTCAAAATCTTCACCCATTCAGTATCTTCAAATGTCCGGTTTGCCTCAAGTTCCTTCCTTAAGGAACTGTCGACATAAAATAATCATTTTAGTCTATGTTGATGAACTAAATCAGAATAAGGTAAATAAAAGTAAGATTAACCTATGGCAACACTCCATGGATATACAAAGAGTCCGATTAATTTTTGGAGAGCTCCTCTCTCTAGTTGAGGGACTACCAGCACGATATATTTCTGTATCAATCCAGGCCTAAGAAAAGATATTAGATTTATTATTTCAAGGTGATAAAAGCTTGGCCAAAATAATAATAATAATAATAAGACCAATAATAGTAATCCTTACATGATAAAACGTGACAACATTAGGATGTTGACACTTTCTCATCAATCTGACCTCCCTATTAACAAAGTTATTGATGAGAAATAAACTCATGAAAGAAGATGAAATCATAAATTGTATTGTGTACTGCAGTATATTACATTGCTTCTATTTATAGGCATACATCAACATTAGTTAAGATCTAGATATTATAAAATCTGAAATAATCTAAACAAATAGAATCTAAATAATCCTAACTAATGAGATCTTTGACTAATCTTATCAGCCCCCCGCAAGCTCATGGGCGAAACAACAATGAGCTTGTCCCGAAGTTGAAGAAAAGTCTTCGTAGGCAGAACTTTGGTCATAATATCAGCAATTTGGGCAGCAGATGGAACATGCTCAATAGTAAGAGCTTTTTGACGAACCAAATCACGAACAAAGTGAATGTCAATCTCAATATGTTTGGTGCGTGCATGAGATACTGAATCAGCAGCAAGGTAAATAGCTCCTAAATTATCACACCAAAGAGTAGGAGGTAATGAAGACAAACCAAGCTCACGGAGGAGAGAAGAAAGCCAACATAATTCAGCTACAGCAAGAGCAAGACTGCGATACTCAGCTTCGGTACTTGAACGAGCAACAGTCGGTTGTTTCTTAGCACTCCAAGAGACGAGATTAGAACCCAAAAAAATACAATAGCCGGAAGTGGAGCGGCAGTCATCAGGGCAACCAGCCCAATCAGCATCAGCAAAAGCAGTAATTGAAAGAGGGGAACTCTTTGTAAGATGTAGACCATGGGTAGGGGTAGAACGTAGGTAACGAAGTATACGCTTAACAACAGACCAATGAATATCAGTGGGACAATGAAGGTATTGAGACACTTTATTAACAGCAAATTGGATATCAGGACGAGTGACACAAAGATATCGAACAGCACCAACAGTACACCGATACTCTGTAGGGTCAGATAAAGGTACACCATGATTTTTAGAGAGAGGTAAGGTGGGGGTTATGGGGGTAGAGACGGGTTTGGATGTGTCGAAGTGAGTGCGAGTGAGGAGATCTTGAATATACTTAGATTGAGAAAGAAGAAGGCCGGTTAATGTAGATTGAGCTTCAATACCCAGAAAATAATGAAGAGAACCAAGATCTTTGATGGTGAAGGTAGAATGAAGCTCATCAATGAGAGATTGAATGAAGGAAGAAGAGGAACCAGTCACCAAGATGTCATCCACATAAACTAGGACAAAAGTAGTGTGTAAGGACTTAGACAAGATAAAAAGAGAAGTGTCAAATTTAGAGGAAATAAAACCAAGAGTATGAAATTTCTGACTAAGACGGTGAAACCAGGCTCTAGGAGCTTGTTTGAGACCATATAAAGCTTTGTGAAGATGACAAACATGATATGGATATTTTGGATCAACAAAGCCTGAGAGTTGACTCATATATACGACCTCATGAAGATTACCATGGAGAAAGGCATTGTTCACATCAAGTTGACGGATTGGCCAATTTCAATTAAGAGCAATGGTAATGACAATGCGAATGGTAGTAGGTTTGATTACTTGGCTGAAAGTATCTGTGTAATCTATGCCAGGAGATTTTGCTCTCGATACCATAATGAGAAATAAATTCATGAAAGAAGATGAAATCATAAATTGTATTGTGTGCTGCAGTACATTATATTGCCTCTATTTATAGGCATACATCAACATTAGTTAAGATCTAGATATTATAAAATCTGAAATAATCTAAACAAATAGAATCTAAATAATCCTAACTAATGAGATCTTTGACTAATCTTATCAGTTATAGACATTTGTAATAGTAAGCAAAAACAATAACAACAAAACACCAATGTTACTAACAAATTTGTCTTTACAGTTTACCGAATAAAAGAATTTTCAAAAGAACACCAAACTTACTCCCCTTCTTCCTCAGGAGTGAAACTAACCACTTTGATTACGTACTCCTCGCCGTCCAATTTGTTAAAGCATTTGAGCACTTGCCCGAAAGCCCCACTACCTGCCAGGGTTTCATTTCAAACATTCTAAAATCAACAACCTTCAAAAGATAACGAGTTTGGTAACACTGAAAAATAGTTATCACGAAAATAACTTACCTAATTCATCACCCACAACATACTCTTCTTCCAACTTAGAAGACAGAAGAGCTTGTTCTCCAGAGCTGATGCTATGCTATCAATTTCATTAAGTTTAGAAAAGAAAAGGGAAGTTATCTCACAAATCTAAAAATATGCTTGTACTATGATCCAAAAAAGAAAAAAGAAAAAAAAAAAAGGCTTGAACTATAAAGCAATTATATATCACTCACCAATGAAGCATCATCCTCATGTATCTCAACAATGTCAAAAAATTCATTTATGGCCTTTAATATAGAACCAAAGGATCTCTTTTTAGAAGCACCCTTCTCGTTCAATACTTCAAGTATTAATCCTTCGCTATTATCTAAACCATTCTCCGGCTCAATAGAAACTTTGATATTCTCTTTGCTCCATCTTAATCTCAATGACGTGGAAGCATCACTCAAGTATTCCGGAACTAATAACCTAACATTCAATCAACAATCAAAAAACAAACCCTGAAAATTTGGGGAAAAAATGTCGAGCAAATTCAAATATGTTATCAATTACCTCAAAAGAAAGATAAACTCAAATCCAGATTCAAAAAAGACTTTGACATCTTCCCCGTATCTCTTCATCAAGCAATGCAAGTCTTCCACAAGGTCCATCTCTTTGTAATACTGTCCATACATTATGCATCATCAAATGTTCCAATCATCTAATTTTCAGTAGAAACAAATAAATCAATCAACTAAAACTTCTAAATTTTCACTACAACCAGCAGGTGTATAATCGACAACAATTTTTCGAATCTTAAACCATAACACATCAATAGTATTTCCAGTAAGCCGGTTCAGACTCTAAAATAGTAGTATTCTGCATAATAGAACAGATTTGACAAACTAGCCCAATATGAACAATTCATAGAGGAACACTGGAAATTCATAATCTTTATTCCTGATAAACTAATATAAAATCAAATTTTCCAAGATTAACAAGAGGCACACACATATAATCATCAATTGTAGAACGGAGAACCAATTAAGTGATCAGGCATCAGTTTCAGATGCTAGAAATAAATAATCAATCAACTGAAACTTCTACATTTTCACTATAACCAGCAGGTGTATATCAACCACAATTCTTCGAATCTTAAGCCATAACACAGCATTGTACTTCCAGTAAACTGGTTAAGACTCTAAATTAAAAACTGACATCCTTGAACAACTAACACAAAGCCAAATCCAGTATAAACAACCGACACAAAATCAAAACATCGGTCAGTAGGATAACTGAGAACAAATCAAGGGATAATATTAGGATATGCAGTAGGGACCATTAAAAAGATATTCCAGTTAAAAGGAAAAGGAAAAGGAATAAGCAGTTCAATAGGTACCTTGAAAACTTCAAATCATTACTAGTGATTAACTAATCTAAATCTTTCCACTATTAACAACTGTAAAATTATAAAATATAAGTCAAATCGAAGAACTCATAACCGGTTAGAAAATCAAACTAGTTTTTGAAATATAGACAACATGTGACGAAAATAGGAGAAGTGTTGTGAGATATCAAATTAATCCTAAATGTAAACGACTATTAGAACCAAGAAAATATTTATGAGCCAACTGAAAATTTGAAAACCGTCATTCATAATCCACAAGCCTAAACGAGTATAAGAACCAAGAAAATCAAAATATTAGTCAATAGCAGAACTTGGAACCATTCAAGAGAACAAAGAAGCCTCTGCAATACATAGATCAGATGTGACAAAGCTAGTAAAATACTCCAAAGAAGAGGGGAAAAATGAACACTTCCAAGCGGGCACCAAGGAAACTCAAAACCGTCATCGATGATAAGCTAATATAAAAACAATAAGCTATGATTAAAGATCAACAAACTCGGAACATCAGTCAATTGCACCATGTATAGAAAAACGAGCCAGTAAAAAGTGCAAATGGTGGTTTCAAATGCTGGAAAACAATAAATCAACCAACCAAAACTTCGACAACTTCGACATAAGCAGCAGAATTGTGTCAACAACTTTATGATTCGTGAACCATACACAAAACATGTACTTCCAATATAGTTTTCTCTGAGAAAATAAGCGCACCTCTAGAAATCGCCAATATTTGTGTGGAGGACGAACAAAGCAAAATCAGTCAATAGCCGAACTGAGAACCAATTAAAGAACTAAATTAGTACTGTGGATGATAGACCTGACAAAACTAGCAAAAGAATATAAACATTCACATAGCCACACTGAAAATTTCATAATCATCATTTATATAGAACTAATATATATCAAATATCCCAAGATGAACAAGCGACAAATTCATGAAATCAGTCAATTGTAGAACAGGGAACCAGTTAGGAGATCAGGTATTTGTTTCATATACTAGCAACGAATAAATCAATCAACCAAAGCTTCTAATCTTTACCGTAACTAGCTGAAGTATCAACAACTTTTTTTAATCGTAAACCATAACATTGAAATTGTATTTCTAGTGAACCAATTATGACTCTATGATAGAAGCACCCTGAAAATTTAAAACTATCATTCTTGTCCAACTAACCTAAATCAAAATTTACTACAACCACCGATATTGCAGAACTGAGAACAAATAAAAAGGTCAAATCAGGACTCTTCAATAGAGACAAAATATGGATTTAGGAAAATACTCCACCAAAAAGGAAAAAAGGAATAAATAGTTCACAAAGCCACTCTGAAAATAATCTGCTACTAACAACCTATAAATCAAAAGATCAGTCAAATCAAAGAACTCATAACCAATTACAAGATTAAACTAGGTTTTTCCAACATAAACAACATGTGACACATATCATAACACAGAGAATGTATTTCTGGTGAACCAGTTAGGACTCTAAAAACATATGAGATATGAAAAAAATTAGGAAAATACTCGAGCAAAAAGGGAAAATAAATAAACAGTTCACCTAGGCACCCTGAAAATTCAATATCATTATTCATGATTAACTACCCTAAAACCACTGTACCATTATTAACAACCAATAAAAAAAAAGACCAGTCAGAATCGAAAAACTCATAACCAGCGGGAAGATCAAACAAGGAAAAATTGGTGGATCTACCCTAACCTTTACATGCGTTGTCAATTCTACCCTATTCTTTTTCGATTAGCCAATATTACCCTAAGATATTCAACCGTTAGCCAATTTTGTCTAATTTGCCAATTTCCGTTTAAATTAACGGATTTTTTTGTTAGTTTTAATTACAAAAATATCCTAATAGTTTTAACAAGTATAAAAATGATCCTAAAAAATTGTATAAATAACAAAATAGTCTCTTTTCACTTTTTATTTAATTTTTTTCTGGTTTCTATTTCTTTTAACTATTTTTCATAATTATATAAATATACTATATGATCTTTTAGCATAAAAATTTATTTTTAAACAATACTGCACAAATTTATAGATATATATTTGTAATTCATGGTTGATTTACATAAACATATTAATTTTTTTTAATACTATGGCTAGAAAATAATGATATTAGTTTTCTAATCCATTTTTTTCAAAGTGAAAAATTTAGTAAAAATAACAAAATAGTCTCTTTTCACTTTTTATTTAAATTAAAAAATGGATAGATTAATATGTTTATATCTACTCTCACTATTTATTATTTTTTTTGATTAATATGTTTGTAAAGATTTTTTTTACTAAAACTAATTTTTTTACAAAAAATTAAAAAATTTAGCATAGATTAAAAAATAATCGGTCAAATTTTCTGTTTCATGAGAGTAGATATAAGATTAAGTCTCACAAAGGATTTCTAACCGGGAGAGTGATTTTATCCATATTTAAGCGGGGTCCACTAAAGACGAGAGGGTTAGATGGTCATGTGATTTAGGATGTGAGATAAAATTACTGTGTTCGATGTCTCGATTCTCACTGGGGCAATCCAATTTTTCTTTTTTTTTAAAAAAAAAAGGTAGAGTCCAATACTGGAATAGATTTTCTTTATATTATTTTTTCTTTAAAAAAAAGACTTTCTGCTAAAGTTAGATATATTAATATCTCAAAAAAATTATCGCAAAATGTTAAACCCTCGCAATGATAAATATAAATGTTTTTTCATAAAATATTTTGTATCATTTTTGTAAATGCCATGACACTATATTCTTGTGGGCCAATGTAGAAATGAAATAAGTATTTTTTTTTTTTTTACTTTCTTTTCGTACTTGGCCTTTTACAGAAAAAATTATATTTTAGTTTTAATTATTTTTAAAATTTTGTGATACAATCTAAAGTTTGTTGAATTAAATTATAATACATTAAAGTATACCAATAACTTCGTTTTTAATCTATGCTAAATGTGTTATTTTTTGTGCAAAATTAGTTTTAGTTAAATAATCTTATTCTTTAGATTGGAAAAATGGATTAAAAAAATATATCATTACCGTTAAATCATATTATTAAAAAAATAATATGTTTATATAAATTAAACATGAGTTACAAATATCAAATTATAAATTTGTGCATTAGAGTTTAAAAATAAATATTTTTTTTAAAAGATCATATAGTATATTTTTATAATTATAAAAATATTAAAAAGAAATAAAAAATAAAAAATTAAACAAAAACTTAAAAGAGACTGTTTTTTATTTTTGTAAATTTTTTGGGTCATTTTTATAATTTTTAAAATTTTCAGGGTATTTTTGTAATTAAAACAAATACAATTCCGTTAATTTAAACGGAAAAGAGCAAATTCGACAAAATCGCCTAATGGTTGGACTGCTTAGGGTAATATTGACTATTTGAAAAAGAATATGGTAGAATTGACAACGCATATAAAGTTTTGAGTAGATTAGCCAATTTTTTCAATCAAACAAGGTTTTTTGCAAAAATAGACAATATGTGACAAAAGTAGGAACGTAGCTGCTACAAAAAGGAAAAGGAATGAACATTTAACGAGGCAATTTGAAAATTCGCAACATCATCAACTAACCTAAATCCACTACCTGATATATTAAAGATCAACTAGGCTAAAAGTTATTATCCGGTATAATAGACAAGACGTGACAATAGCAGTAACTGTATGAACAAATTCAGCCAGGCAAGCCGGAAAATTCATAATAAACTAATACAGACCAAAAAAATACTCCGGGGAAAGGAAAAAGAATCCAAAAATCACAAAGGCACGCAACAAACTCAAATGAACTGAGATCTGGATGAATGCGAGTAAAGAAATCAATCGAAGAAAAAATGAACTTATTTTGAGAAGAAGCAGTAGATTAGAATTTGGGATGGGAGAGTACCTCAGGAGATTAGAACCATTCAATCGACTGGATTGTAGTCCTCCTATATATATATAGGAGCGACTATGGTCCAGTCGCTCTTATAATTATATAGAATGGTTCAGTTGACATTACTAACCGTCGGATGATTAAAATTAATAACAACCATTAAATTAAAATAAGATGCTTTAAAATTAGAATACACCACATCACACCTGATAATTATATTGCTAATAGTAAATTATGAATCCGTTCCTTTAACTACGGCTAAAAAATTGGTCATGAACATCATAATTTTTATTCCATGAAAGGTTTGTTCTTCTAAGAAAAATCATTAATATTTCTCTTGTAAAAAAGGTTCTATTGAAACAAAATTCCAACATCCAAACAGA